ATATATTGCAACTGAAAATTTCTATCACGGTGTAATTCCGGTCGTCAAAACACTTAGCAACACAAAATGCAACCACTAACTTGTTTAGAGACCAAATATATAAAGAATTGAATTTTTATGCTGTAAATATTTTTTACTTTGTCAATGCATTATATACTATTATAGATATAACTTTTAATAATAATTATTATAAAAGTAAATAATTTTATTATGCATAATATTTGTTTTTACAATTTACATATAATAATTTATGATCATATAATAATGTAAAAATATATACTGTATATGAATGTAATTCATTTACAAACCACTGAAACCAGTCATTAATAGCCAATGATATTTTTATTCGCTAATTAATAGTAAATCATCACTAACATTTACTTGAAAACTACATTAGCAACAAATAATCCAGTCGCTAATTTGATTGTTAAAATCTTAATAGCTAAATATCACTTTATATCACAGTTTAGATTATTTTTTTATGAATATAAAATACAATTATATATTTAAAATATTGATTATATAATTTATTAAATTTAATTTTAATATAAAAAAATTATTAAAAATATTTATTTATTATAAATTTTAATTATATAAAAATAAATATTTGTGCTGAATAGATAACCTAAAACATTTCCCCTCAAAAAAAGATAACCTAAAATATTAGTTATATGCAAAACTCAAAATTTACGCATTGGGCCGTGGCAGAAAAGTCCAACAATATTGACATGAAGAAATCAATTGAGGGATTTGCACGTCTCGTCGGTCACAAAATCAACTATCTTTATTTTTTTTTCTTTTATTTTTAATTAATATTTTAATATGTGTAATGTATAAATATGTTTATTATATATATATAATTAAAAACTTTATATTTAAATATATAAATTATATTTAAAATTAATGTATATAAATATTTTTAAACATATAAATTATAATTTAAATTTATGATAAATAATTTATATTGTAACAAAAAAATTGATTTTATTTATTGATAATTTATTTTAAAATATTAATATTTAGTTCATAAATAATTATGATAGTAAAAATCAAATTAAATAAAAAGTTAAAAAAATCTCTACAAAATCTCTTATCGAAAGAAAACTCTTATAATCACTTGTATACAAGATAGATGTTCATATTTAATATATAAAAATCGAGGGCCGATAATTTTAAGAAGTTGACCACATTAAAATTTGAAATAAGATTTTTCTTATTTCACCAAGAAAATCTTCTCCCAACATTAGAAAATTAATTCCTTAAAAAACATAGGGATCATGAATTATGTCAACCCTAACAAAGTCTTCTCTATACATAGTACAAAACTAATCCAAAACAAAACTCATTGAAGATTAGGGGAGATAAATGAATCCATTTATCCATCATCCATTTGATTCATTCACAAGTACATCCATCCAATCTATCTATTTAATTTTATGGATGATTAATGATCTATTCACTATTTTTTCACAATTTATTAGATTACAATATGAGATGTTTAATAAATTAAAATTTTAAAAGATTATTTTAATATAAAAAAGTGTGTTGTTAATTTTAAAAAACTATATAAAGATATAATGACTTATAAAAAAAAAGAATAGTAAATAAATTATTTTAAAAAATAAAAATTATTTAATTTTTAAATATTATTTTTATGGATGGATATGAAAAAAAATATTAATAGATAGATTGAATAAATTTTTTTACTTTAAATAAATTGAATGGATAAATTTTTAAATTTTTTTTTAATAAATTTAAATAAATTGTTTTTATTTGATCCATTATGATCTACTATCGAAGATACATTCAAAATTTGAATTAGTCAACATCGGTAATTCAACGTAGCAACTGTTTCACGATTCTAAAAGTTACATGTATAAAAACAAACATTAGCACCCACACGGAGTTGTTGGGCATAGTCACAGGTAAAGTAGCATTCGAAATGGTATTAGTGTTGAACTTAATATATGTGTATACGTGGTCAATAGCAAATAAATATCATAGTTTGCGCCCACACTGCATTACGGTTTGAATCGGATACATCATTCTTTTTCCTGATAAATATAATTTAACTAATATCTTAGCAATTAGCATCTACACAGAATATTTAACTAATTGAAAGTAGAAAGAAATGAACTCTATACAAGAACATGTACGAGAAGATTTACGTAAAAAAAGGCAGAAAAGTTGAAAAGGCGTTCAACATTAGTTGGAGCTGCTTTGAATGTGCCAAATATACATTTCTTTTTTACTTCGAAAGCTGACGTTATTTTAGAAAAATACACAAGGAAGAAGCTCTTCCTAGTATGTACCTAATCATATGATTTTGTATTGGTCTAATTAAAAATCTCATAAAAAACAACAGCGGATAAACCTGGTACAAGTAGATATATATTGACTTTGTCCCTCCGACGCCCACAGTTTGATTGTTTCAAATTTTATGTCCATGAAAAGTAGCACATTTCTTAATCTACACATATATAATGTTATAACTTGGAATTTGGAACCTAGCTAACAGTTCTCCAATGCCCATGGCACCTTCACGAGTGATTTCCCTTCTTTGTCTCCTAATACTCACGTCTTACACCACTGCTCAGCCAAACTTCCTATACCACTCCTGTATGAATGACAAGGGTAATTACACTGCAAACAGTCCCTATAAGACCAACCTCAACACCCTTTTGTCCAATATATCTTCCAACACAAATATCGATTATGGCTTCTACAATTTCTCTCAGGGCCAAAACTCTGACAAAGTTAACGCAATTGGGATGTGCAGAGGAGATGTTAAGCCAGACGCTTGCCGTAGTTGCCTAAACGATTCGAGAGTCCTTCTCACAGAGCGTTGTCCAAACCAGAAAGAGGCCATTGGGTGGTATGATAATTGCATGCTGCGCTACTCAAACCGCTCAATATTTGAGACCATGGAACCTGCCCCTACGTACTTTCTGTGGAGCCCAAATAATGCAACTGATATGGATCAGTTCAATGAGGCTCTTAGGGGCTTGGTGGATAGCCTCAGAAGCAAAGCTGCATCGGGTGATTCCCTTAAAAAGTATGCTGCAGGAAGCGCAGCTGGTCCAAGCTTTCAAACTATATTTGCACTTCTACAATGCACACCTGATTTATCAGAGCAACAGTGCAATGATTGCTTGGTTAGAGCTATCTCAGATATCTCAAGTTGTTGTGCTGGCTATACAAATGGAAGAATTGGAAAACCAAGCTGCAATCTTAGGTTTGATACATCCCCCTTCTATGACTCTTCAGCTGATGCCTCTCCCAGTCCTCCCCCTTCAGACACCAATACCCCCCCCTCAGAAGGTACTTGTTATTAATACGTTCTTAGTTAAGGGATGCATGGTTCAACCGGCCACAAGGGTCTTATGGGTTTGAAATTTTTACTTTTCATCCATCATTGACATTGGATTTCTTAGTGTTTAACATTGAGTTTGTTTTTTGCAGGAAACAGCAACACAACAAAAATTGTCATTGCGGTAGTTGTTCCAACTGTTGTCATCGTTGTACTGGTCATTTTTGTGTGGATCTTCCTAAGAGCAAGGAAGCGAAGGAATAGGAAGAATGTTGACAATGAAAGTAAGACCAAATATTGTCCTTGTGATATAACAAAAAAATATTGTTTTCTTGTGATGTCTTATTGGAATGACGAAAGTTTATTCAACTTTTGGCCTAGTCATCATAAAATGTATTGAATCAGTCAAAGAAACAAGACAAATTTCTCGTTGCCAATAATATGCTTTTACTGATTTGCTGCTGCTGTCAATCAATCTTAAATCACCTTTCATTAATTAAAATTAATTAAACTCCTTTACCGTGTGCAGGTAAAATTGACGATGAAATTGAACCTAGTGAGACATTGCAATTCAACTTTGACATCATAAAAATGGCTACAAATAACTTTTCTGAGACAAATATGCTAGGAAGAGGAGGATTCGGACCTGTTTACATGGTAAAAATATGTTACATTTTGGATAAGGTTGTACGTGTACTTGTGGCCCAAATCACATATATCTTACTCTGATATATTTTCAGGGTAAGCTTTCGGATGGACAAGAAGTTGCTGTCAAAAGATTGTCTATGAATTCCGGACAAGGAGATGTGGAATTTAAGAATGAAGTACAGTTAGTGGCCAAGCTACAGCACCGAAATTTAGTCAGGCTACTTGGTTTTAGTTTGGAAAGAAAAGAAAGGTTACTGGTTTATGAGTTTGTACCCAATAAAAGCCTTGATTACTTCATATTTGGTAAATACTAAGTTAGAACTGATAACTCATTTTTGATTAATGCTAAGTGCATAATTATTATAGACTTAACTTGAAGGTTATACTTTGGCTTGGTTTTGCAGATCCAATTAAGCGTGCACATTTAGACTGGGAAGGGCGGTATAAAATCATAGGAGGTATTGCTAGAGGTCTGCTTTATCTTCATGAGGATTCAAGATTACGAATTATTCACCGTGATCTAAAAGCAAGCAACATTCTCTTAGATGAAGAAATGAATCCTAAAATATCAGATTTTGGCATGGCAAAATTGTTTGTGGTGGATCAAACTCAAGGAAACACAAGTAGAGTTGTTGGAACTTAGTAAGTATATCGTTATCATATTAAAGGGTTGATTATTTGCTTTTCTTAGCTCTAACGAACAAAAACTGAGAAAAATTTTATCATAATTGAACTTGATAATATTGACATGCAGTGGTTACATGGCACCTGAATACATAATGCAAGGACAATTTTCTGTAAAGTCAGATGTTTTTAGTTTTGGTGTATTGGTTCTAGAGATAGTAAGTGGCCAGAAAAATAGTGGTTTTCAACATGGAGAGCATGTAGAGGATCTAATAAGCTTTGTAAGTCTCTTTTCTCTTTCCAAAGTTTTCCCTCTTCCTCTTTTTAAGTATACGATTAGAAGATGTGAATAGTTAATTTAAATGAACTTTCAGAAGTTAAAAAAAATGTGGGTTAACATTTTCTGCAATTATGCAAATCCTTTATCCTTGCAGGCCTGGAAAAACTGGAGGGAGGGAACAGCATCAAATGTGATAGATCCCACATTGAATACAGGTTCAACGAATGAAATGATGAGATGCATCCACATTGGTTTACTCTGTGTTCAGGAAAACTTAGCTGATAGACCAACCATGGCTTCGGTTGTACTCATGCTTAATAGCTACTCTCACACACTCCCTGTGCCTTCAGAGCCTGCGTTTTTTATGCGCAGCAGAGGCTTGTCACAGTCAGATATTCAATCGTGGGAGAATAATTCAGGGACAACAGAATCAAGAAAATCAAAAGTCAAATTGTAAAAGCATACTCAAGTGAGGAATCAACCGGTATAATTTAGTGATACAATTAAAACAACTGATAGAGACCTGTTAATAGCAACTACAGTTGATGTTCAAACTAGAATTGAAACAACTGATGGAGACCAGCAGTACTATGTGTGGATCAATACTGTACTATAGAAATCTATTAGACTTTTTGGGCATTGGCCGTTGTGTATATATCCAACTAATGATATACTACTATAGTGTGTATCTATTTCATTGCAGTTATATAACTTTTAGGGTTTAGGATTTATATAACTTTTTTATTGCTATATTATTATTATTAGAGAGGTTGAGATACTTCTTATCTTTATAATTACACAAATAGAATATTAGAAGATTGACAGTAGTTATTCAGGAAAGATATTTGAAACTTTTTTTTTTTATATTTAAAAGATATAATAGTCCATTAAAAATTAAAGATAAAAAATGACTACATAATTTAATATCTTCTTTATAATAAATATATATATTTTCAATGTACTTCTGGTAGAAAAATTATGTTAAGCCTCTAATTAATAAAATTAATTGTAAGAAGCATATTGTTCAGATTGTAGATTTGTCTTGAATTTATAAATTCACTCAAACTGGTCTCAATCAACAAATTAAAATGATTTTAAAGTAAAATTATATACTTTTAAAATAACTTTAAAGGATTACATTAATTTAATTTCAGACTAAATTCTATTCATGATTTCAATTTGGTCTTATAAATTTGAAACATATGCTGTAATTTTATTATTATTATTATTATTATAATATAAATAAATTGTTCTCTTAAGTATTTTTGTTAAACAATTTTAATCCTTATATTGTACTTAAAATGTCTTTATTACATCAATTTGACCCTTAAACTAACAAAAACAACTCCAAGGATTAAAGTTATGATATTATTTTTATGTAATATTATTTTATATATTATTTAAATATTATTATTTTATTAAAACTGATTTAACTATAATTAAACATTAAAATTTAAAAGGAAAATTAAGTTTCTTTTTTTGTTCTATAATGACTTATTTCATGAAATTGATGAAAACGTAAAATTGGAGAATCCTTTAAAAAATGTATTTGAAATTTTTGTAAAGAAGAAAAAATTGTTATTTATTTAATTAAGCATACTTTTATTAACTTACATAATATAAAAATTAATACAATTTATATAACAACTATTATGATAAAAAAAAAATCTTAGATATCATAATATATGAGTTACTAAAATAACTTGAATATCACATAGGTAACGAGTTTAATTTTAGTATATTTTAAAATATATATTATATATATTATGTTAATTTTTTTATAATAAAATATATTAAATCATCTTAAATTTATATAAAATTTTGTATGTATAATTTATAAATAAGAAATTTTTAATCTAATAACAAGTTTTAAAAAATTCATATTTAATTGAGAGTTATCGAGTAATATAATATTCTATATATAATAAAAATAGTTTTTAAATCAGGAAAAAGATGACCATGTAATAATAATGGTGAGATAACCATATAATAATAATCGTGGGTGTTATTTTATAAAAAAGAGTGTGCACTACGGAAATAATGAAGAAACTTTCTTTTGTTTCATAAATGAAAGTAACTCAAACACAAATATTTATTCTAATGGTAAGAAATTTTAAGAAATTTAACTTTTAGAATCTTTTTTCTAATTATTTATGAAAATTTTAAATTTTTATTAAAAAAGATAATTATACTACAATGAAAAAAAATAAATTATGAGAAAAAATGTAAATAAGTAAATATTAAAAATAAAATAAAATAATAATAAATACATAAACATTATACGAAATTAATTTTTATCATTATTATTTCCAAAACGTTCTCAAATATGTTCAATAAAGAACTGTTGTTTCAGGAAGTAACTATCTTTTTTTTTCAAATAACTCATATTATCACGTCATAATTTTCTAATAAAAAAATAGCAGGACTTAAGTTGTTTCATGGGACAAATAACTTCCATTAAAATTGACTTGTGTGAATTTATAAACATAGACGTCGGTTATATAATTGTAAGTTTTGAAAATAGTACCGGATCGATTAGTTTGCAGAAAACCGGTTTTAACTGCTATTGTTCATTTCTTTATTTAAAATGTTTTTTATGATAAATAAAAAATATTTAGCAATATTACAAATCGAAATAAATATTTAACCTATCTTTTTAAATAATTTTATTATAAAGATAAATTTTATTCATTTATATTAACTTATATTATATCTTGATATATAACTTTATAATATATTAATTTGACATTTTTTTTACTTAAACTTGTTATTGTTAATGAATATTATTATATTTATTAAAATTTAAATTTAAATATCATATTTAGATTTGTACATATATTCTAAATGTTAAGAACTTATAAAAAAGATATTTTATTTTTATTTTGAATAATATAAAATTAAATATTATATTTATTTAATAATATTTTATATATTATTTAATTATTATTACTATTTTATTGATATTAGTTCAACTATGATTAAAGTACAGTCATATCATTGAACCTTCAACTAATAATTGATTCATCCAATTTTAAAACATTGAATATAAAATAAATAAGTGCTAAAGGTGAAAAAAAAAGCTCAATTTGCATAAAGTAGTAGCCTTAAATGGATGTTAACAACACAGGATATTCAATTAATCATCTTGGTTTTATTAATTATAAAAAATTTATAATAACAGTATAAATTTGGATTACTATCAAGCTAATTTTTTTACATTACCAGCTGCTCTGTCTCATGCCGCATGGAACGCAACAACCTAATTTTAATGAAAAATAATTAAAAAAAAATGACACGGTAGCTCACTCACATCAACTATTCTAAAATGAGAAATTATTTTAAAATAACCCATTTTAGTAAGAGTAATGTTATATGTAAAAAAAATTTATACATCATTATTATATTTATCCTTTTCTATCATTTCATTTATTATATAAAAAAGTATTTACTAATAATAAAAAGAGTCAAAAAATAATATGATAAAATTATTGTTGTACATGTAAGATTGTTCTTTTAATAAATAATTTAAGAAACTACCCTAACATGTTGGGTGAGCCGTATATATTTGAACACGTTTAGATTAAAATTGAACGTATAAGCATGAAATTTCCAAGATTAAGGTAATAAAAAAACAAATAAACATAATAATACAATACTAGAATTAAATAATATATATATCTAACTTGAAAAGTTAATTCGAGAAAAAGATTTCTGAAACACAAGTATTTTGACGATGATTCTAAGAAACACAAGTATCAAGTTGCATTTGGAAAGGATTAAAAGAAATGAGTGGGAAGCTTGTATATATGGTCGACCACATGGCTGAAAATTGACTACGAAGTCACTGGCGACTGCTGTGTAGTGTGTATTATTACTATATACTCGTGAACTCCTGTCGCATCACCTTCATCTAACTTTCCCAATACAGAATTGTTCAAAGTCCATCCGAAGCTTCCATGTCAACTACGTTTTTTTAAATCCAAAAGTGGTATAGGAATCAAAATGGATTTAGAGCTCTCACAATGATTTCTGCCAAGTGGGATCGATTCCCTACGTGGGGTCCATGCATGACCATCACCACCGGTTCCTTCCCCTTTGGCTTTTGGTTTCTAACATGAGGCTACTTTTCTTTTCCCCCTTCTTTTCAACGAAGTTTCTTATATGTAAACACTGGCAATACTCACACACCTTCAGATAAAAAATTTAAATACTACCTACAACTACAATCTTCCTTTATTTTCTCTTTCTAGTACTACCACCTTACTCCAACTATAGCCATGCATTCAAGAATGCCTTTATTCCTTTGTATCCTTGTTATGCTCCTATCCATATCTCAATCCAAAGCCCAACCAAGTTTCTTATACCATTTCTGTATGAATCACAACGGTAATTACACTGCTAACAGTACCTACCAGAACAACCTCAACACCCTTTTGTCTAACCTCTCTTCCAACACAAACATTGACTATGGCTTCTACAATTTTTCTTATGGCCAAGATAGTGACAGAGTTAACGCAATTGGTCTGTGCAGAGGAGATGTTAAGCCAGATGCTTGCCGCAGATGCTTCAATGATTCCAGAGTCCTTCTCACACAAATATGTCCAAATCGGAAAGAGGCAATTGGGTGGTATGACAACTGCATGTTACGCTACTCCAACCGCTCAATATTCGACACCTTAGAAACTTCTCCTGGTTTCTACAAGAGTAATGGTAATAATGCAACAGATGTTGATCAATTCAATGAAGTATTGAGGAACTTGCTAGAAAGCCTCATAAGCAATGCTTCGCTAGGGGACTCCAAGCGTAAGTTTGCTGCAGCAAATGTATCAGGACCAGCCTTTCAAACTATATGGGGTCTTGTGCAGTGTACCCCTGACTTGTCAGAACAAGAATGCAGTAAATGCTTGGTCGGGGCAATCTCAGAAATTCCACAATATTTTGATGGCAAGATAGGTGGTAGAATTGGAAGACCCAGTTGTAACTTCAGATATGAGATATACCCCTTCTACGACTCTACCAACGTTGTAATACCACAAGCACCAGCACCGAAGGTGTCTGCTCTTCCTCCTTCGTCAAAAGATGTCTCTTCCACAGAAGGTAAATGTCAGATCCTGCTTCAAATGTAAAATAATTGAACTTTATAGTAGTTTCTTGTGGATATTTAAAGATAAAACATAGCTGATGGAGGAAAGCATAAATCGTGCAAAATTGAAATACTTGTTGATGATAGTTTTCTAGGAAAATGGAAATAAGCTAAATTTTATATAACCAGAGAGAAGTTGTAAATTGAAATACATTAATTTTTAATTGTCTTTGTTTGCTCTATATTAGATTATATAGTTCTCCAACAGCCTTTTCTAGGAACTAGTAATTCGACTTGTTGAGAAATGAGAACTGATTAATTATCCTCTATTCTAGAAGCATATTAATAAGATTGAAGTTTTGTTTTTGCAGGAAAAAGCAACACATCTCGAACTGTAATAGCTATAGTTGTGTCAATTATTGCCGTTGTCACACTAGTAGCCCTTATTTGCATCTATTTAAGAATAAGGAGGTCGCGGAAACAAATTCTAGGTAAGCTAGCTTGGCATTGTTTTTTAATGTTATTTGTCAATTTTGGCTTTCCCTGTGTGCAATGAAAAATATAGGGCAAAACTCAAAAAGGTCTACTATGGTTGCTAGTTTGCTACCCACAAAATGACTACTTTTTTTTAGGGTAATTGACTAATTTCTTAGAATTCTAGTTACTATATATTTAGCAGAATAATAGAATATGAAATTCCATTTCTCCCATTATTGGAAAAAGACTGCATTTTCCTATATAATTAGCAGAATAATAGAATATGAAATTTCATTTCTCCCATTATTGGAAAAAAGACGGCATGGTTCAACCACAATCGGGAAGAAATAAAATGAAAGAAAAAGTCTCCGGAAACAAGCTTTTAACTGTTCATATAATGGTGTAAAAAAAACTGTTCATATAATAAAGCACCAATTGCAAAATGGCTTAATAACAGCTTATTATAAACAATTCCCAGTACACTTTATTGACTGATTCTCATAACGTAATTAAATAGTTGAAATAATAACAAATAAACAATATCATAAGTTGCATTCATATGTTCCATCTAGTTCCTAGAAAACTATTATTACCATTAATGAAACAAATAAGCTATTTGTAATCAGAAAAAATCCAAAGATGAACTAGAATTCCAGTTGGAGAACTGATAGAGTGATTGGTTGCAACTCATTGCCATTTGAAACAGAAAATGATGATGAAATTGGATCAGCAAAGACGTTACAATTGGACTTTGCCACAATTGTGGCTGCTACCAACAACTTTTCTGATGCAAATAAGCTGGGACAAGGAGGATTTGGACCTGTTTACAAGGTAAATATAACAGTGTCACATAAAAATGTACATCCCATCTACAAAATGTGGTATACCTGATAGGCTGGTTGGTGGTTAGCCTTAGATTCATCAAATTTATTAAATTTTCAGGGTATGCTCTCCAATGACCAGGAAGTTGCAGTGAAAAGGTTGTCAAGGAATTCCCTCCAAGGAGACATAGAGTTCAAGAATGAAGTGCTCTTAGTGGCCAAGCTTCAGCACCGAAATTTAGTTAAGCTACTTGGATTTTGTTTGGAAAGAAGAGAAAGGCTACTAGTGTATGAATTTGTTCCTAATAAAAGCCTCGATTTCTTCATATTTGGTAAGTCAAAACTTTTAGTTGATGGAACTGTATGTACGTCTGTTCTCTCATTTATATACATTCTAACTCGTTTAGAATATCGTATCTTGGCTTCGGTTTGCAGATCAAATCAGACGTGGGCAATTGGATTGGGAAAAACGATACAAAATCATAGGAGGCATTGCTAGAGGCCTTCTATACCTTCACGAGGATTCACGATTGAGGATTATTCACCGTGATCTGAAAGCAAGTAATATTTTGTTGGATGCAGAAATGCATCCTAAAATATCAGATTTTGGTATGGCAAGATTAGTTGAAGTGGATCAAACTCAGGAAAATACAAATAGAATTGTTGGAACCTAGTAAGTATCAAAATATTCCATCACAAATAAGTTATACTATACTAACTACTAATCAATGTCTTCAATTAACACAAAAATATCCTCAAGGTGATGTTAACAAAGATTTTAATACTTGTATGTAATTGAGCTAACGAGCTTGTTTATGTTTTAATGCAGTGGATATATGGCTCCAGAGTATGCCATGCATGGACAATTTTCAGTAAAATCTGATGTTTTTAGTTTTGGTGTATTGGTTCTAGAGATTGTAAGTGGCCAGAAAAATAGTTGGGCACGTAGAGGGGAGAATGTAGGGGATTTACTAACCTTTGTAAGTAATAAACCTTCTCTACATTACTTGTTTTCTTTGTACTTAAAGAGGTTTGATCCAATTAGTTTCTTATGCAATTGTAAACCTGCTTGCAGACTTGGCAAAACTGGAGGGAAGGGACAGCCTCAAACATTGTTGATCCAGCAATCACTGATGGTTCGATAAATGAAATGATGAGATGTATCCACATTGCGTTGCTTTGTGTTCAGGAAAATGCAGCTGATAGACCAACCATGACTTCTGTCGCACTTATGCTTAACAGCTACTCTGTTACTCTTCCATTGCCCTCACAACCTGCTTTCTCTATTGATAGCAGAAATTTATCAGTGATTCAATCAGAAGAGAATGATTCAGAGGCAGGAAGATCAGAGGAATCAAATATTCAATCTCTCCAAGCTTCAGTAAAGGAGTCTTCGATCACTAAGCCATTTCCTCGCTAGCTAGAGTTTATTCATCAAAGTCACACTTGTAGACTTCATTCTTCATAGTTACCAATTTCTTTTTTCTTTTTTTCTTTTTTAAATTGTACCCATTACCCGGAATAATCTGTGTATCTTCTCCGAATCTCCGGTGAGGAACTTTTAGTAAGAGATTCACAAACGTAGTTGAAACGTAATCAACATCTTGGAAATGAAAATAGACAAAATAAAACATGTGTTATTTTAAAATGATCATTAACAGGCACAAATATATTAATTTAAAGTAATTATATGTATATAATTTAACTTTCAAATTTAAATATTATATGAATAAGTAGTAATTAATATTAACATGTTGGTAGGGTGACGCGACCAACAAAATTTTTGGTTTAAACTCCCTTAGAAAATTATTATATTAATATTTATATAACTTTTTAAGAGTTTTATAACTTAAAAGTCATTTTTTATTCTTAAAGTTTCACTTTAATAAACCTATATCTAAAAGATATACAAATATAATTATTTTTTTAAGACTTGTTTCTAAAACATTTTTATTTTTTTTATCAAAAATATTATTAATTTTTAAAAAGTATCACTTTAAAATTTGTTTTAAAATTAATAATATGATAGATCGACCTTGCATTTTATAATTGATAATTTCAAACGATTATGTTTATTAGTTCTTTATTAATGATCACATTGAATTAAATTGATTTTAATATAAATGAATTCGTACGGTCACTTGATATAAGCCATCTGGCCTGTAGCTCCTATTTCTACCTCTCCTTGGCTCAACCCAACCTTTCAAGGAAGAGCTCGTGTCTCAGTTTGACTTAGTTGCTTATTCTCTTGGGTGTGTTTATGGAAGTCTAATTAATTATTGGATAATCAAGAAAGATTGGTGGTAATGGATTAAATTCCCTCTCCCAAAATTCATTCTCAATCGATTATGCATGTTATTAATTAATTAAAATATTTTTCAAAAATATTGCAAGAGGGGTAAATCAGTTATTTAAATCTTATCACAATTTCTTTCTCATCTTTCCATTTAAAACAAATAATTTTATAATATTATTTCTTTTAATCCAAACACTTCAATTTTCAATATATATATATATATAACTTTTTTTTTCACTCTATTTTTTATTTATTTTTCTTCTCGAACAAACATAATATTTGAGAATCTTATATTCGAATCTTGTTATTGTGATTGTAACTCTTGCAAATAAAAAAATAGTATTAGAGGACAAAAAGTCAAATGGACTGACTTATGAATCAATAATTTTTTAAAATAAAAAATTAAAATTTATTGAAATAATTTATTTATACAATAATTATTAACAAAATAATAATAAAATTTAATCACTAAAATAATATATAAAAATATAAATTGTTATTTTTTCTATAAAAATAAAAAAAATACATAAAAATAATATTAAAATAAAGTTATCAATTATAATAACAATAAACAAGTGCAAAAAGTTAAAAGCAAAACTTAATTTACATCCAATATAACTTTGAAATGGACATTAACAACACAAAATATTTAATTTGTTTTCTTTTATTTTATTAATCATAAAAAAAAATAGTAATAAAAAATGAATCTGGTCTATGGCCTAGACCATCCTATCATGAGCCAGTCCACCTCATGCTAATAAAATTTTGGACTTTATATATAAACATCCTATAATCACTAATATACCCTTGTATATCTTTTAGTTGTGAGTTTGTTTTTACTATAAAGTATAAATTAGTATTTTTTCGTGAAATGCATAAATATATTTATTATATAATTAAAATTTATAATAAAAATATATAAAAATTATATATTTAAATTATAAATTATATTTAAATTTTGTATATATATATATTTTTTAAACACATAAATTATATTTTAAATTTATAATAAATAATTTATCTTGTAATATATTTTTTAATAATTTATTATATAATATTAATATTTAATTCATAAATAATTATGATAAATAAAAATAGAATTAGATATAAAAAAATCTTTCAAATTTTTCATTAAATACAAATCTATAAAATACTCTCGCATGAGATAAAGGTTGGTGATTAATATATAAAGATTGATTTTTTTTCACTCCATGTATTCTCCCCTCCCTCCTCTCCTTCTGAATCATCCTTTCCTTTGCACACACATCAAATTCATTTTTTTTTTCTCTCAATAATGATCATCATCTTTATCAATACTAATAGAGTTTAGGTACTTCGTACCTCTATATTTTATTTAATAAAAGTGTTTAAAAATTATTAATGTTTATTAAATGAACTAGTGTTGTATTTAGTTCTCAAACTTCAAGGTCTTGAATTCCAATTTTGTGTTTATAAGAGTAATTATTTTTTTAATATTATTGTTTATCATTTAAAATTTAATGATAAAGTTGTCTAAAAAATATATATATCAAATCGGATTATTGTCTTTATTTATATATATATTACAGATAATAGATAACAATGCTCTCCATAACACTATTAACATTCTCAAATTTTCCTATCTTAAGCATAAGTGAAATATAACATCTCATATTCATGACATCATTTTTAAAAGAGAAACATAATATTCTAGAAAATACTTTTGGAAGTGTATTTTAAGACATAGTTTTAGAAAATAGTTTTTGAAATAATATATATTATTTTTAAAAATGCTTTTTAGAAGTATATTTTAGACTTAAGGTCTCATTTGAAAAAGTTTATGAACAATTTATTTGTACTTATCTTATTTTTTAAATACATATGAAAGTGTTTGAATAAACTTATACAATATTTTATGGGTAATTCATACGATATTTTGAACTTATTTTAATAAGTTGTTTGATATACCTAATTATTTAGTTTATTTGAGAATTTATTGAGAAATACCTATGTTTGAATCCTGTCATCAACTTAAATAGTTTTTTTTTTGCTTAAATATGTTTTGGTCCTTATAAAATTAGCTAGTTTTGATTTTAGTCCCTATTAAATTTTTTTCTATATTTTTCATCTTTATAAAATTAAAATTGTTGTTTTTAATCTCTATTTTATGTAATCATTTTTAACTATTTTTTATTTACTAAAAATTTAAATAATTTTCTTAAGTGTTACTTACGATCATTACTAGTATTATATTGATATTTAACATCTCAAAAAAATTTATAAGTCTTTAAAATAAATGTTATTTATTCACTTTAAAATGATCATTGGAGATAAAAATAGTTAGTTTAAATTTTAGAAATATGAAAATTAAAGAAAAATATTTACAGGAATCAAAATCAAAATTTACTTATTTTACAAGAACAAAAAATAATGTTTATAAATTTTAAAAAAATAAAAAAAACAAAAAAATAATTAGAAAGACCAAAATCAAAATTATTATCAATTTTATAAAAACTAAAAGCATATTTAAGTATTTTTTTATTCTTTCATTAAAAATCAGTTGTACATTTTTCTTCATTACTCTCTCTAAAGATATTTGTTTCCCCCTCCAAAATTTTTCCCTCTTTATTTTTTTTTCTTCCCCTCCATTTCTTTTATATTTTCCTATAAATATTCAAATTCTCGAATTATATCATAACTTTCTTTTCTAAAATAGTAAATCTGAAATCTCTATCAAATATATATAATATCTTCTCTCTCTCTCTCTCTTTTTTTTTTTTTTTTTTTTTTTTTTTTTTTTTTCTATTGTGGATTTCAGTTACCGTTTTACGGGTTATGATTTTTACTCATCACATAATTTTTATTATACAAATCAAAATTCAAATACTCAAGTCTTTTCGTCTTTTTAAATTTTTACTTTCTTGTTAATATTCTTACAATAATTTTTTTAAACATGATTTTATAAATATATGAAATAGATTTTTAAATTTTAAAATTTATAATTCTTAATTTGTAATCATTATTATGTATAATTGATTTCTTATATTTTATTATTAATTTTATTTTTATTATAAATTAAAATTGGGTGAATGATTACTATTAATATTTATTATTTTAATATTATTGTGATATAATGCCAATTTGAAAAATAGTCACTTTTTAAATCTTTATTCCAGTCAAGATTTAATTTATAATTTTTTTATTTTAAAAATAGTCAACATGAGATAAATTCTTAACCAAACACTTTAAAACTGCATAAGTGTTTATTAACATATATATTCAAATGTAACAACTTACTAAATTTTAAATACATATAACAGTTTTTATTACATAAAGATTTATTAAATAAGATCTTAATTAAGTTATTTATTTAAATAAATTCAACATCTATCAAGCATAAATTAACAGAATTATAACATGAACAAATAAAAAAATTAATTAAAGGATTTTTTAAAAATATTTTTTAATTATAACACCTAATTAAAAACTTGAGAAAACTATGTAGAGATGCAGATTAATTTAGAAGAAAAAAAATTGTATCAACTTTCATTACAAGCAAAAGTAAAATGTCTGGAAAGCTTGTATATATGCTCCACGTGTGGACCACCACGACGGTTGTAAATTTGGCAAGGAAAATCACTGCGGATTGCTGTATATTACTGTATCCTCTTTAACTCCTGTCGCATCACATTCATCCAACTTTCCTAGCGGAATTGTTCAAAGTCATCGGTCAACTAAGTCCTTAATATACGTTTTTTAATTCCAAAGGATTATGGACTTGATTTTTCTCCATACATCTCATACAATGGGTATTAAAATAACTACAATGTTATCTTAAATGTGAATTCGGATATAATTTAATTATATAAAATTAACTTTGAAAGATAAGAATTACTCTCATTCATATATCTATAATTTTAATCTTATCTCTTGTTTTTTTGGATTCAGAAATTTCAACCAAGAGGGATCGTTTCTCTAGTCTCTAATCTATTAACGTTACGTGGCATCCATGCATGACCATGATCGCCGATTCCTTCCCATTTGGTTTGTAACATGAGGCTACTTTTGGTTTGCCCTCTTTTCAACGAAGTGTATATGTTTTATGTAAAGAATGGCATGCACACGGACCTTGAGAGGGCGGCGGCGCGGTCGGAGCGAGACGGAGAAAGCGGAGGAGAGAGGAAGCTTGGAGGAGAGAGAGAGTGAGAGAGTGGGGAATCGAAGGGTTTGGGATGAAGCGGTGGCCATTATTGCGATGAAGAGTATGGTGTTTGCGACAAGTGAGAGTGTGGGGTTTTAATTTTTATAATGATAGGGTTTATCACTCTCTTTCTCTTTTTCTTCTTCTTTCTTCACTATTTATTTCTTAAAGACATTCAAGCTCTTCCAAATCCACGCGCTCTTCCTCAATTCAATCAGTCTGCATAACCACCGTTTCCCGCAAGTGCCAATCTTGTCTCTGCCTTAAAGTATTTTTTTTTATCATTTATTTTATTTATATTTTAAGTAAAATATACGGATGCATAAAGTATTTTTTTTACGCTGATATAGTATAGAATAAATCATTAACCTTACTCCCCGATTGTGATGAATGTTTATACGAAAAATACTTTAAAAATTTCTAAAGTATAGTGAAAAGGCAGGAAGTTTTATTGAAGAAACTTGAAGTAGTTAAGTTGGAGCATAATTGGTGGAGGTTATGAGTTATGAGATACAGGAACAGAATGCCACGCTCTCCTTGTCGCGTGAGTCAGATATCACCACCAACCCAAATGAGTAATGAATAAACATCAACCTGGGTGGGACCCCTTTGGTTGGTATCCTTTTATTTTATTTTATTTTTCAACTGTGGTTTGGTGGCCATAGGTTTTCAATTTTATTTATTATTTTTATCAATTTAATATTATTGAAATTATTCTATTTTATTTTCTTATAATTACAATGTCAATTTTATTATAATTTTATAGAAATAGAATTTTAAATTAATTAATTAATTATTAATTAAGTAATTCAAATATTTAATAAATTATTCAGAATAAATAACTAAATTAATTAAATACTATTTATTATGATAATTAAATTAATGAACATAAGTCATAACAGTTGATCAAATATTATAATTATTTTAAATAATTTTGTGATTTAAATATATAAAAAATTAATGTTATACTATACATAACTTTTTTTATGTACTTTGTATTCTTACACATTAGTAAATTTAATTTTTCCTTTTTATATATTCTTGTATTATTTCTTTGAA